GTTATCTAGATTAGATTCCAATAGAGAATCAATGGGCCTTAATTGTTATAAAGTTCCACAGCAAAGTAAAGCAAAATAGAACAGCCAAAAAGCTGAAAAGGTCGATCATCGGCGCCCAGACGAATTTCGATCCTACTGGAATAGCTAATTTGGCTTCCAGCATTTCAAAACGTATTATTGTGTTCCTTATGATTATTGGAGGGTCATCCCATTATTGAAAATTCGTGACGTTTTTCGTTATAGTAAAATCTCCCGACAAGTGATGTGTAGTCATATTTGCGAAACGGTGAAAATACGTTCTAAGGAAGATATTTTAATAATTCTGAATCGAGATTTCTCCATAAATCAAGTATCAAGGATTATCGTTATGGGGAAAGTACTGGTAATAGCGACATTTTCCAAAAATGCACAGCAACTTTGGAATAGCAAAAAATTAGGGTGGACCTATATTCATGAAACGCAGTGTATTTTATGAATTTAGGAACAGAATATCCACCGGATCCTACGATTTAGGTTCCTATGAGGAGTCGGAAATAGTCATTAAGACAACGACGGAAACACCACCTACTCGTTTCCGTCCTCCTCGAATCCCGGCAAAATTCCAGGAAGAGCTGGATGACCACATCAATAAGCTCCTTCGCGCAGGGCGCGTTCTTGAAAGCGACACCCCGTGGATCCACAACACGGTTCTGGTAAAGAAAAAGGATGGTTCTTTACGCGTTTGCCTCGATTTTCGCTCCTTGAATGAGGTGACGGTCCCGAGTCATTATTCGCTCCCGCGCATTGAGGATATCCTCGCCAAAATTGCCGGCCACAAGTTTTACACCACTCTGGATCTAGCGTCCGGCTATATGCAACTCTTACTCTCCCCGGAAAGCCAGGAGAAGTGCGGGTGGGCAACCCATCGTGACATCTACCAGTTTGTCTACCTGCCTTTTGGACTCAAAAACGCGGGTGCCTACTTTTCCAGAGCGATGTCACGCATCCTCGCGGGTTCAGAAGCCAATTGCCTGGCATACCTGAACGATATAGTGGTTTTTGATAAGGACTTTCCCAGTCATCTCCAGTCCCTACGCAAGGTCTTCTACAGGTTCCCTCTTTATAACATTAGGGCATCGGAAGAAACTTACGGAAATTGCCCGTTCTCACATTAACTTTTTAGGGCATGAGATCTCCGGCTCTTCGTATTCACCAGCGGAACGGAACATTCGAGCAATCCAGGAGTTTCCAACCCCCACGACAACCAAAGCCGTGAAGGGATTCGTAGGTATGGCGAACTTTTTCCGCAAGTTTATAGCGAATTTTGCCCTCATAGCTTCTCCACTTTATGCTCTTTTGAAGGACAAGGCAAAATTCGTTTGGGGGCCTGAACAAGAAGAAGCTTTCCAACGACTCAAGTTGCTGCTAGCCTCCAAACCTTGCTTGGCATTCCCTCAGGACAAGGAATTTTTCCTCCATACTGACTAGCCAGCATGCGGTGGGTGCCGCGTTATTCCAGAACAATTCTGACTCTGACCGCCAACTTGTTTCGGCTATTTCAGTAAGGCCCTTTCAGAGTCTTAGCAGAAATGGAGCCCTACTCACATTGAGTTGTTCGCTATCATAAGTGCCTTGCGTTTCTTTCGAACTATGATCTACGGGAACCATACCACAATATTTTCGGACCATCGTCCGCTTACTTTTCTGCTCAAGCATAACAGAACCTACGATAACCTTACGCGATGGGCCGTCGAACTGCAGAGTTACGATGTCACGATCGAATACCTCAAAGGTTCTTCGAATGTGGTGGCGGACGCTCTGTCACGAGCAGTGAACCCCCATGTTCGATTCCGGGACGATACGCCAGAAACGGACGATAGTGGAATTCCCCGTTAGCATTAACAAAGCTTCTCCAGCCATCTATGCGCCCCACCATCTGTTGTCTCGGTCCACTGCATGCAATTCAACCGTACGATGCTCTTCAGGAGCAGAAACAGGATCGATTTTGTTCGGCGCTCCTTTCTTTCATTGGAATCCGGCGCTTCCCTCCCGAAATTACGGAGGACGAGAAGACGACTTGGCTAGCTATCGCTGAGAAATGCGTCATAAGGAAGAACGGTTGTCTTTATTATAACGACCGTCAGATGGTCACCACCATTCCGTTTCGAGCGATTAGTCGTTTCTGAGAAACTTAAAGAACCCGTCTTTTTGGCGTTCCATACTAGCCCATCTTCTGGTGGCAATTTCAACTGGCGCAAAATATTAGCCAAAATTTCACGCAAGTATTTTTGGCCTCATATGGCCGAGGATATCTTCACGTTAGTGCGCACCTGCGACCCATGCCAACGGAAGCGTCCAAATTTAGCCAACCAGGAAGTACTAATATCAGTAGTCAGTGGGGCCATTTTTAATAAGGTTTATGTGGATCTTACAGGCCCGCTCCACACCTCAGAGGCCGGTAATAAGTACATCCTGGCCATGATTGACCACTTCTCTAAGTACGTCATCGCCGCACCGCTCCCTGATTGCACGGTGATTACGGTAGCGCAATCTATCGTTTCGGAGTGCATTTTGAAATTTGGTGTTATGACTCAACTTGTTTCAGATAATGCCTCTTATTTCAAGGGTGAGGGGGGTTGATGACCGAGTTAGGACGATTCTTACGGATTCACAGGTATTTTTGCACACCGTATCACCATGAGGGAAATGGTGCCTGCGACGCATTTTCGCTACTTTCCATCCTATGTTGCGAACTTATATTAATGAGAACCAGTTGGACTGGGACAAGTACGTGAATGCGTGTTCCTTTATGTATAACACCTCGGTTCACACCAGCACTAACAACACCCCTTTTTTCCTCATGTTCGGACGCGACCCAGTTTTTAACATAGACTTGCTCATCAAGAATGATCTCGCCCGTCATTTTCCATCATTTGAGGATTCTGGACTCTATGTTCAAAATTTAGTCGCGACCTTACACGCCGCATGGCGATCGGCAGCCCAATATAACGACCGCCAGCGTGAAAAGTTCAAGCGACAGTACGATCAATCCCACCTGGCCCCTCTCTCTATCAAACCAGGTGATCGGGTATACCTCCACGACTTGGCCCCCAAAGTGGGCCTCTCTCAAAAACTTTGCTACCTGTGGTTAGGACAATTCCGTGTCATCAAAGTGGACCCTCCCCAATTAACCATCGTTAGCATTTCTTCGCCCCAATCTTCTCCTAAAAAGGTCTATATGAACCAGGTCAAACCATGTCAGCTTCTATCCGGTCTAGTTTTCACCACTCCTTGGATCCCTGAGGTCGAGGAGCTGTCTCTCGCAGCCGTGGAAGCTTCCGACGAACCTATAGTGGGTCACTCCCATACGGCGATTGAGCATTTGACACCGGACACCTCGGCAATTTCACCCACTCCGCCAACCCATTCTTATAACACTCGTTTCAGGTCGCGAAGAACTTCACTTTGACCGGTTGGTCAGAAACCACGAACATTTCTTTTTTCTTATGCTTGCTGTTCTCACAGCTCTAACTTTTTCTTTCTTTTCTCCGCTGGTTCGAGGCGAGCTTCTTTGTTTACATGCTACGCCACGCCGATCATGCACCATCAAATGCCATCCATTATCTCGCGTGCTTTTGTTTTTCTGTTCTTAGGATGGTACGCCCATCCTATCGTTGCTTCGTAACATTCAATTCTTTGCGTCTCCACTTGAGGTTTAGGTTGTCTTTTTTCCCCTTTCACTTCGTGCATCCCTATATGTTTCTTAGGCGTTGAATTCTTACGCGTAAGTTTTCCTTCAGTATTTCATACCTATTCTATTGCTCATTTTCGTTCATATCCGCAGTAGTGAAAGTTGCCGCTTTTTTTTTGGGCCTCATGTCGCCTTTTGCGATTTTAGTTCCGCCACTGCGTTTCTCAGGATACCATCCCTTCACCCTATTCTCTTCAGTACCTTTTCCCAGGTAAATTCTTTGACCCGCCCAAAGTGTTCTTCTGCAATTTTCGCGCACTCTGATATGGCCGACGGATCGTCACGCCCCGAGATCCGGACCCGGCATCAGCATAGGTCAATGCAGGTATACCTTGCCGTTTGAGCCAGCATGCGGCTGAACTTCGCATTATTTACCTAGTCGCGTTGCGACGTTTCTCCAACCCCACTAATTGTTCCCGTCTCAGCACGGGACAGTCCGCTATGGACACCTCCGAGCGCGGGTGTCTACTCTTGCAACCGAGAACCAACACCACTGCTATCCGTTCCGTTTCAGGAAATGTTACAGAGGCCTAAACCGGTGGTACAAAATTCCACTTCGGAGGCCACTTTTTCAGTATCTTTCGCCGAAATCGCCTTTCGGACTAAGTGGCACCCAACTGCGTCGTCATCGTTGGCTGCTTCGCAGCGTAAGTTTCACAGCGAACGACAGTTGCCAGAGAAATCCGACGATGCGTCGGTGGTAAGTATGACCTCGTCCATGGGGCACCTAACTGTCGCTGAAGGCGACCCCCTTCAGGCCGCCACGGGTCACGCCGTCGGTCTCTTCCTCTTCCCCTCCGGCAAAGGTCGTGCGCACCTCTTCCAGTCAGCGCAGGCCAGTTCCTGCTACAGCCACACAGGTAAGAGGGCGGGGTGCTCCACGTCAGCTCCAATCTTTACGGGGCTCCACTCGAGGTCGCGCTCCTACCTCCTCGAGGTCGGCAGCGTCAACCTCATCGGCCTCTCAGCCCTCATCGTCCCACACATCTACTCGGGGCACCGCTCCTTCCAGGGCTTCGAATACACGTGGTGGTCGCGGCGCTAAAAAGCCGCGCCCAACCTTTTCCGGGTCTTTACCACAGGTTCATACCTCGCAGCTCCCACGGGAAACGCCAGACGGCTACACCCATTACCTTATCGACCAACACCCTTGGGTGCACCTCGTTAACCCTCGCCCCATCCATCACCTCCGGGAGCACCTACCCAGGGTCGTCACAACCCTGGACACCAAAGTGTACCGTCACTTGCTGGATTCCGGGTATATGTCAGCGCGGTTTAATAAATCGCTGTTCCCACAAGTGGTTTTTAAGGAGGGCAGTCTTCCGCTTGAGATACCCTTCATTGAGGTACAGCATTTGGAAGACACCATTGCCTTCCGCGCGAGGTCCAAGCAAATAATTGATCAACTGTTTGCAGGTACCTATAAGAACCAGGATGTCGCCGACGTGAAGCCGTCTCCTCACGGGGATAACCACTTCGTGACCGCGCCCCCGGTATACGAAGGGATACACCCGGTTCTTTACCAGGTCGTAGCTACCGGATGGGGCACTGGAATCGTCCTTGAAGCGAAGTTATAGGACCAGATCGCCGCGATCTGCACTGCATTACCCTTGACAACTTCGCGATCGACGTCTGCACAGGTGCTCGTGGTTTCAATAAAGCCTTGGTTTCGATCAAGGACTTTGTGTGGGTTTACAACGTCAAACCAACTGAGGCGTTGCAGTCTCCAACGACCACTCTGCAGCAGGCGTCGATACCGCGAACTACCGCCTTGGACACCACCTCTATCTTCTTTTTCGGGGTGTCGCACTACGCGTTCGAGGCCGTCCGCGACCGCATGGAGCCTACCTATGGTATCGCTCTTTCACTGACGGCGGTCATCAACGCTGAGCCGTCTTCGAGGGATGTCCGGACGCGGTCACGATCACTCCATCCATTTGCCGCTTCTCTCCTAATTGTCTCGCCGATTACGAGATCGTAAGTAGTCGTTTGCGTGTCAATGTCTCATCCGCAACGCGTTTCTGCGAGCCACCTGTCTCTCTTAAGCGCGTGCGCAGCTGGCTGGCATTTTTCGCGGCTTTTTACCTATGCATCCACAGGAAGGTATTCTACCACTAGTCGTTTCAAAAATTTCAGTGCGGAAAAGGAGTGGTTCTCTGACCGCTTAGGTCAGTTTAACAATTTTCATCTTGATCCGGTTGGGTCGAAACATAAAGGATAAAGCATTTGCCGTTGATCAATCCCGTTTTGGGATGCGGCACGCATTCTACTTCCATTTGTACATTCGCAGTGGCATTTGAATGCGATGAGGCCTATACAATGGCTTGCGGGGGCCAGCCGATGTTCAAGTCAGTGTTTTATCCTCCCAGACAAGTCTGGTACCAATTAGCCGACCCCGGAGGGATGGAAGGCTTGGTTGGCCCGGGCGACTCACGACCCAGCAATTGATCCCGGACCGCTCGCGTGGTGAGCGCGCCACTTGTCAATGCACCACTTCCGCCTACGCGTCGAAACATAGACAAGCTAAAATATGTAATGCCGCTTGCTCGGCACTTGCAGCTGTAAACGCTGCCGGTGATGACCGGCATACTCACTGGGAGATACTCATGGCGTCGGAGGCAGGCTGGTCTCCCGGTAGACACGTCGTCTTATGGGCTCCAGGTTCTCAGAAAATCGTTTGGGTAAAAGTTGCTCAGGTGCAGCCTCACACCCATCAGAAGGCTCTGGATGTCGTGCTCCAAGCATTCCCTTGGTCACACAGATCCCTCCAGCGTGTCCTCCGGGAGTTTGGCCGTGACCAAGACGGCGCACGGGTAATCAGCATCTGTTTCCGCCTGGGCACATCTACCACGGCTGCCAACCCAGTCTACGACCTTGTTTCGCGTGTTCAGATCTTCGAAAATCTGACGCCCGATACGACAGGTGACCGGGTGGTAAACATCCTTTACGCCAACCAGTCTTTCGGTGCAAGCGAAGAGGACTACCTGCGCGCTTTACCTCCACCATCAGATGACCCCCGATCTTTTCAGGTTTCGGGCCGTTCGCTGACTCTCACGCCGGATTAGAAGGACGCCATCCGCCTCGGCTCTGGACAGCTTCCTCTCGTCGCCATTCAAGCGGCCTTTGGTACAGGTAAAACCCTAGTTGGGGCCCTAATTGCGGCACTTTCAGCCAGGCCTGGGGGAGTCGTAATTGTGACCACCTCTACCAACGCTGCGGTCGCGCAATTCACGGAAACTTTGCTCTCGTTAGACGAATTCCAGCACTTGGCGATCGTTCGCCACATTTCAGATGCGGCTGCTGCGGAAAACCGCACCCCTACCGCCGTTGACCTCAGCAAGGTCCTCAAAACTCTTGGGGCTACTTTTCAGGACCGGCTCTCCAAGGAAGACCTCGCGGTCTGTCAGCAGTTCACCCAATATCGACAGCTGCTCGAGGACTACATCGACAACCCGGAGCTGATTCCTGACATGACGGACGACGACAAGAACGAGTATCAGGTTGCGGAACACTACGTCTCACGGACTGTCAAGCGCATGGTCAGGATCATGTTCTCCGTGCGTCCACCTTCGGTCATCTGCATGACCACTTCCTCCCTGCTCAATTCTACAGGGACGGCGGGAATCTTCAAGAACTACATCGACACCTTCACTATGGTGATCGGCGATGAGGCCTCCCAGATTCCAGAACCCGCCCTCTTGGCCGTAGCAGGTAGGCTAAAAAGTGCCCGGCACGTATACATAGGCGATGTCCATCAGCTCGCCCCTCACGTCAAATGCCCGGTAACATCTACGCCGGCCCTTCATGGGGCTCGTGGTGTGATGAGTCTCCTGCTCCACGCACCTGCGGTACCAGTGGCTTCCCTAGTCACAACTTTCCGCTTCCATCCGGCCCTCATCGCACTGCCTAACCGCATCGCGTACAACGGATCCCTGGTTAGCGGCACCCCGGCAGAATCCCGCCGCCTGCTGTTGTTCACTATGGGATTTCCGTTGACGGAGGTCTTCCTTGGAGGTCACCGCGAGGTCTTCCTTGGAGAGCCGGTCCTGACGGAGGTCTTCCTTGGAGGTCACCGCGAGGTCTTCCTTGGAGAGCCGGTCCTGAAAAGTAGCCCCAAGAGCTTTTGAGGACCTTGCTGAGGTCAACGGCGGTGAGGCTGCTGTTGTCCACTATGCGATTCCGTCACCGGAAATCCCATTCATGTTGCATCATCGTGCAAGGGGAGTCGGCGCGGCGCCCAGCAAGTCGCACTTAAACAACGACCACCGAGGCTTGGTATGCCGATGCTTCATCCAAGATCTTCGTTTGGTCTGGGGCATTCCTCCGCGCAGTATATGCGTAATTACCTTCACAGGTAGGCATACGCGCCAGATCAAAGAGCTGCTCCATTCATTCAACCTCGACGTCGAACTCATGTCCACCGTGGACTCCGTCCAACGGACGAGAGAAAAAGGTAGTCATTTTACTTTCGCACCAGACGGCGATTTCTCTCCAGCAGTCAGCGGAGTTCCTCAGGCCTATACCGACGTCTCAACACGTGCCGTTTCGCGCTGGCCGTCATGGTCAATTCGTCTTGGCATGCTTGATTCGCTAGCGCGCAGTGCAGCTGGAATCCCCTCCTTCAGTGCCCGACTCCGGTGCTACGTCCGGCACCTGAAGCCTGGAGGGTCCAAGATGCCGGTATCATTAATCCCCAGACCCGACTGCTTCGCGAAAGTTCCCACGAGGCGAGTCTACATGACAAACAACGGGACACCAACCCGCCCGCGCGTTGTCACCCCCGCTCAGCTCCCCCATACCTCAAGCGCCCGCTGGACTCCATGCCTCGTGAGCGCGTTCTTTCCTTGTTGCATTCTCTTAAAGTCCGACGGACTTTCGTTAAGGGGGGAGGTGTAAGCCGCGCCAATGCAAGGCGGCGTCATGATGTTTTGTGTGACTCATCCTAATGCTTTCGGGCGCTGGGCGCTTGCGACCGAAGAGCGATCCGAGAGTCAACCGTATCTGCGGACCGAGGACGCTGGCGTGTCCAGCTTCTCCATCGTCGAGCGACGCCCTAGCCTACCTAGACAAGCTTCGTGATACAGTACGTGTTTTTACGGTTTTCTTCCGCCTCACTCTCACTTGCTTTTGTTCGGATATCCCTTGGTTCCTGTCTCGGTTTTAATTGCGCTTGTCATGATCAATATTTCTATTGTTCTTTGATGACATTAGGAATAAATGCTTAGTAAGTAGCACAGAGTCTACCGGCCAGAAGCCAACGCGTATGCACGTTTCCCTGCTCGCGCGCTAAGCTTACTATGCTAATGATAAGATAATATAAAAAGTAAACGGTTCATTTTAAGCGTACTTTTGATAAGGATCGGTGGATGCCCTTCGTTCCACACATCTTGCCTACATGCTATCCACTTTCTATCCAGGTCATCCACCCTGGAGCTCCTCCACCCCTAGACCTAGGCAGAGGTGTCCATTATCCTTGTCCAGGACCGTTTCCATAGACCATGGCAGACAGAAATATGAAGACATCTCGGGACTTCTTCTTCCACATTACAGCGAAACTTATCAGAAGTGAGGTGATTACTCCAACGCTACTGTGTAAATGAACTTATTACCAATATCACCAGGGCACTAACTACTCAAAAGTCAACCACGCTAAGCGCACCTGTAGACAGACTTCGTAATCACCCCGAGCAAGCTCCTGGGGTTCGTATTAGGATTCGTATTATTTCAGGGCTCGGTGCCTCGTGGTCCTAATATACACTTCCAAAGCCCTCATGCGGTCTACTAGTAGAACAAAAACCATGTATAACGCACTGTTCTCCAATTTTCTTAATACACACTTTCTCTTGGGATCTCATGGGGTTTTATCTTACTTACTCCTAATTACTCTTACTTTCTACATGAAAAATTATACTATTAGACTCAGTTAGTCGACCTCTGTGAGAATGCCCTGTCAAATTTTAGAAAATTTTATTTTTCCAATCCAGCTAATTAGCGAGTGTCGCTCGCTATAGTATGCCCAGAAGAAAACAGCTTCCATTAAGTATCCAGCAGGCCTTTTCGCTTCTTTCTTGTTCTGGAATAGTATGAAAAAGTGGCTAGCGTGCTCTTCAGGTTATTGAAATCGAAAGTAACATCTGCTTTGCAGTACATCTCCTTGTCATTGCCAGCCGCAAGTATCAGAACAGATGGATCTGTTGTGCTTAGGAGATCATAGCCGGGAGAAAAACTCTCGTTCGAAAACGCCATCGGGGTTAGATTTGGCCAGGCTTTGCTCTGATCGCCGTGGAAGCCGATCCATACGGGGCAAAATGCTATGTGGCCAACACACCCTGACGTTTCAGATGCACTGTTCATAGAAGTTCTCGCTTCTTCATAAAATGATGCTCTACCAAATCTCTCAAGAATTGATCACTGATGACAGAAGCGAGTTTGGTGTGAAAGTTGCTTCCTACTTCACCAATACGCAGTGGCTGAACAAACCCGCTACAGGATTTGAAACAAGCAGTTTCGTGACAACCTCGCGCAAAAGCCTCACTGGTTATATAGAGCAGAAGAGGCTAAACATGGACAAATTCACCTCAAGGTCATGCTCTGCCTCTGTTGGAGCGTTCTAGAGGGTGCGCCAAAATTACGGTGATAACAGGTGCGCATACAGTTTCAACCACTAGTCGAAGATGCTGTTTACTGCGCTCATTTTGGTTTTGTTGCGTTGACCTTTTCATGGTTATCTTATTTCAATATGTTTGATTATTACGATGGCTGAGTGATTCTTCTGCCATTTCTAGATCACTGAACTTCAACATTGAGAGTTTCCGGTATGCAAAAATTATCAGCGTTTTAGTTTCAATCCGGGTACCGATCATGGATCCACTGAACGCTCTAAGGAATAAGGAACTGAATGCACTCTTCTGTATGGGAAGGCCGTGCTTCTGAGACGGCCACGAGCAGTGTCAGCATGGTGCGCAACAGAATCTGCTCGCACTTCGCGCACTCGTTCCGCCGAATGTCACAAGCGATAGACATTGAGGAGATTTCTTGAGAATTTCTAAGCAAATTGATATCCCAACATTTGAAGAGCATTACCGGATCTTTTATAAGGAAGGGATTCCCGCAAGGCAAAGCTGGTGCAGAACTGGTGCAGGGCCAATTTGATCGAATTCATCACTTTCAACGTGTAGTTCAGCACTTCAGATCCAATATAAATGTGTTACACTGTGGAATTGATTCTGTAAGCTAAAGCTTGCATGGAACTCCACACTTTTGGAGATTATCCCGAGAATTGCTTCAGAATACGTAGGACGATTTCCACGCACCGACATGCGTGCCACCGTCGATGGTTCCTCACTGCTTCTTAAGGCCTGTATAAGTGCCAACTAAGGAATTTCTGAGATTTGTTAGATGTTTACAATTCATTATTGGGCAGTGAACGTTAATGCATTTTTGGCTTCTTGGAATTGTGGCATGTTCATTCTAGGCGACTCGAACTCGTTGTCGCTATAATTTTGGCGCACCCTGTAGAGGTAATCACGAGAAATCTTCGAATCCACTTCATCACTGCGGTGAAGTCAGTCAAGCCTTACGTGATTAATGGCAGAGAATCACAGCGACACACCAACAATTGTCCTCAAAGCTCAAAAAAGTATGTACGCTTAACGGCACTCGAGATCACACATTTCAAAATGAAGCGATTCTATCGAAGCACGCTTTCAAGAAGGATGTGTATCAAGTGGTGCGAATGGAAATTTTAGCACCTAATTAGTGCTGCGTCGCGACTAGGTGCGAAGTGAAATCAAATCTTGGCACTTAATTACAGGGTGTCCCATGAATATTGCACCAAAATTTGAGCTCAAATTCTGTGAGTGTTTAAACGCTTTCTTCCGGGATTGGCAGACCTTTCAATCCTTTATCCTCTTCTCAATGACCACACCAAATTCCACGGCTTAGCGTTCGGTCTGCATCTCATGGTGCGCCTAAACTTCAACGGAGTGCCTAACCTTTCACATAGCTAGTTCGGACATCCGGTGATGAACATCGCCCTTCTTTGAACTGTCCACCGCTCCGTGGCCTACCGTGCACTAACGAGAAGCCTAATAAAAGTAGTCGTCGTTGTGGCCGCCCCACAAGTTCTGAGAACTTGGAACTTAAGAAAAGCATGAAGAAGCAAAACGACTGCAATACCCGGGTTGGCTCGAGAAAGGTGACCAGAACGCTGAAGTTTCTAAACAAAGCCATGTGGAGGGTGGTCGAATTAAACTTGCCCACACTCCGTGATAAGTTGCATAAGCACCACTGTTCAATCCAACGGGAGGAGCATTGCAGAGACAAAAAGTTCAAAGGGCCGGTGGTGAGGGCTGAAAATGGTGATTATGCGCGCACCATTTTACTCGACGCCAAAATTCCTCCCATGGAGCGGAGCTGCAATCTTCAAACTCCGACGACGCTCGGAGGTCTTGAGGAAGTCAGTCATTGTGAGAGAAATATTCGCCACAAGCAGCAGCCTGACCTTTTCATGGTCTGGACAGGGGTATCAGTTAGCGGTCGCTCACCATCACTGCCTGTTTATGAAGGAATACAAATTGATACTAGATCGAGGCAAGGGACATTTCGGAGCCTCGTCTGTTATTGAGGTATCTAGCGACTTTGAGGAGGGGTGATGATTTTTTCAATAGGGCCCTGCTTCTGCATAGGAGGCAAAAATTGTTCAGAAGCGCTGTTAAGGCCCTCTTTCCAAATTCACATTCTCAAACGAATGGCTCTCCTATCAGTTGACTTCAACGGGCTGGACCATCTTATGTGGGATGTGTTGTAGGGCAGAGCCTGCGCTAAATATTGCATCCACAGGTATGAGCCGAAGCCTTTTCTCAGCAAAGTTTCGAATAGGACACGCCAGGATGCCATGCGGGCCACAGTAGGGTTATGATCGGAGCAACTGAGAGCCACACTCACAACAACTGGGGTGCAACTTCAACAAATGTCATTCCTTTCAATATGTAAATATATTGCTAACATTTTACAAAACCTCTTGAAAATACATCTATTTCGAAAGAAGTTACAAGCAAAGTAAAGTGGTGCAATATTTATGGGACACCCTGTAGTGCTGGCTGGCGATTGGGCGCCAGCCTATCGTGTTGGCCGAGACGCGCCTTCCGTATCATGTCATAATGGTGCAAAGGATTGTGAGAACAGCGAATTTTGGAAGCGGCAAGGAGATTTCAGATAAATGTGGTTCTTAATTTATTATTGCTAGTTTTTAGACTTTTGACTCCTGGGAACAAAACAAAGTGAATTGATGCTCATACATATTTATTATTGATACTATTGCTATTATTATTATTATTTTATTGTTATTTATTATTAGTCACTACACTTTCTAACTAGGTTAGAAAAATCAAGTGAAGGAACACAAAAATAGATATCCAAAATATGTTCAAATCTCATAACGAACTATATAGACTTATTAGTTATGTATCTAGACATTCTTCTACAATACGAAGCAATTTGATCGGGGGTGGATCCTTCCTGGTAAACTTCGTCGAATCTAAAAAAAACAGGCATACAGGGAGATTAAATTAGAAACTATTGAACTTTGTCATTTCTTCCCATATTTGATCTCTTCTCTCCCTGTGCTCTCTCGCTAACGCCCTCGCGTTCTCTGGAAGTGTAGATGGGTCATGAGGTTGAATGGGGCTTTCGAGTACGAAATATGATGGCGACCGTGTTGGCAAAACAATCTCAGGTGGGGCAGGACATACGAATCATGAAGGGGAAGGTGGACGGAAGGGTTTGGGGAGGAGGTGGGCCTTCGGAATATGAAAAGGAAGGTGCCGCGATTGGGGCATGGGGGAGGGCTAAGGTGTCGAGGTAGAAGGGCAAGGCGTCAGCAGATTGTGGGTCAAAGTGGGAGGAATAGGTGTCGGAGAACATGGCAGCACAGTGGTCTGGCTATTACAAACAGTCGCTAATGAGTGCTCACTTACCTGCTTGAATGAAATGATCAGAAATAATAATTTAAGCACATTTTATCTGAAATCTCCTTTGCCGCTTCCGAAATCGCTGTTCTCCAATCCTTTGCACCATTATCTACATGTACGGCGCGTCTCACCCACACATAGCTGGCGCCCAATCGCCAGCCAGCACTAATTAAGTGCTAGATTTGAGGTCATTTCGCACCCAGTCGCGACGCAGCACTAATTAGGTGCTAAAATTTTCATTCGCACCACTTGATACACACCCTTTCAAGAAGTTACGCTGGTTGTTGACCAGGGTTTCGAAAGCACACCGCCCCCAAAAGCGATCCGCCCACTAATTTAGTTGGTGATTTGGACGAGCTGCGTTGCTGGCAGCGGCACAACTGGAGCACTTTCACTGGACCGTGGTTTGACATCCCTCCACCGAATGCATTTGTGGTGAACTCATTCAGACGACCGGTTTCTGAGCTGTTAGCTGTTCATCAGTGGAAAGTGAATGTCAAAAAAAGGGGTCCCGTATTGCGTCCCTTGACGGAATTCTCAGTTTTTTTTTCGCCATTGCGTGCCATTCCATCGCCTGGTCCCGTGGCGGCCGGTCGGTTTTTGATTTTCCGCTCGTCCTATCGACCGACGACTGCGTTTTCTTCTGGATATCCGCAGTCCTACTGTTTCTATTGCTGCATATTCCTACCTGATTAGGTCTACGTTCGGTAGCGAGCCAACCATCCGATTCTATGAATATTGTCTATTCCACGGGATTCATCTGATCATTATTATTCGACTGAGTGCATTCAATTCTTCCATCGCTCTAGTCTACTCATATTCATTTCAATCGCGTGTACCCCTGTGGCAGGATTTTCAGTCTGATACTGATTGTTGCCACCCAAACCGGTTAGTATCTTTGTCGTTTAGAGGAGGAAGCCCCAAGCGGCTCATCGATCTTTTGGTCACCTCGGCTCCTTGTGGCGTGGAGTCAGCTATAATATTTAGCATTGCATAGCCACCATTAACGGTCCTCTCTCTTTTTTTTGTCATGGACACTCCTCTCGGTCGTTGTTCTTTTAAGGATCGTCGGGCGAAGAGAAGGGTGCCCATCTCTTCCCCCACAGAGGATGATGGTTCTACATTGATCAATGCGATTGGCCTACTCAATGCTGACGCCGGTTTACCGCATCATCTAAAAACGATCATAGGCCACCTACTGGAAAAGGCAAGCGAAACAGATGATCTGAAACACAGGAACCACCAGCTTGAAGAGCGTTTGGAGGCCGAAGTAGCAGAGAATGCCCGCCTAAAGGAAGAGATAGAGACCCTCAAGAGAGCTTTGGCCTCAAATAAGAATTCTGATGTTTTGTCGATTGCGCACAATCCTCAAGTCTCTAAGCTCAAGTCTGAATGTTGTGAAAACCATGAAATGTCCAGATCCATAGTTATTCTTGGTATCGCTGAGGACAATACCTCCGACTCTACCCTAAGAATCTCATCTTTGTCTGATCGCATTAGAAAAATCTTTCAATTTCTCGATATTGAATGTGCACCGGTTAGCTTTTATCGTATGGGAAAAATCAACTCCAATCATCCGCGCTTAGTTAAAGTCGTTCTACCCAGCTCTTATTTTCAGAGACAGATCTTAGCACGTGCTCATTTGTTAAAAAACTTTTTTGTTCGTGGAATTTTCATCCGACCGTCGCTTCCATTGTCTGAAAGGATACGTTTGAGAGAACTTAGGAAGCTGAAGAAATCTGACTCTAATGTTATCCATGGTCATTCAGAAATCGTCTCTTCTAAACCTATTCCTCCTAAAGTGGTTGTAACTGATGCTAATGAGAATCTTGCTCTTTCTTCCAATGATTCCGCTCAAAATCAGCCCATCGCAGTTTCTTCTAATGCTGCAATTGTTTCTGTTGCTAACGGTGATTCTTGTATTTCTGTGCATCCTTCGGAAAACTCATAACTCCTCCTCGGTATTTGGATAATGAAATACGCTGCTTTTTGTGTAACATCAGGTCTCTTCATAAGAATGCGAGCTCTCTTCAGTACTCCATCGCTGCAATGAACTATGACATCCTGGCCTTGACCGAAACGTGGTTAAAATCCAAAAGCACGCTTGAACCTTTGCTCGGTGAGATGATTGCTCCTTATGAGGTTTTCAGATGCGACAGGCCTAGGCTTAAAGGGGGAGGCGTACTCCTGTTGATAAGACGGTCCTTGTTTCCGGCTCTTGTCTTCCTTGAAGCTGTTCCCAAGGCCTACGAAATTCTCTGCTGTGACCTTAGCCTAGTTAATGGCCCACATCGCCTAATCCTGGTCTACAAAACACCCAAATGCAGTGTAGAGCAAGCAAATCAACTCATAAAATGTATCAGTGACCTATCCTCTTGCGAAGCCAAATGCCTTTTGATGGGCGACTTTAATTTTCCGGATATTAATTGGAATATCATGCCTCCTCAGTCTTCTTCGCGTTCTGCGCCGTTTGTCGATATGGTTTCGAACCATCATTATACTCAAATGGTTAAGTCTAAGACCAGAGGAGAGCACACACTCGACTTATTATTCAGCAATAGCCCCAATGTTGTAGCTGATGTCCTCACAACTGCCCCTGTTGGCAACAGCGATCATGCTTGTGTCTGCTTTAGTCTCCTCAGCCCATTCGATCGCGACGTTGTTATCTCCAAGGTAAATTATAGTAAAGCTAACTATGAGCTTATCAATGAGTACCTCAGTAGCATAGACTGGATCGGATCTTTTAACTGTTGCTCCAACGTACTAGAAATGTATGAGATGTTTTTGTTTATATTGCATCATACAATAGTGTCCTTTGTGCCTCTACAGAAAGTTTCGCTAGCGTCGCCCAGTTTACCCAGTTATCTCACCACGGCGCATCTCGCAAAAATTGAAGCTTATAAGAAAGCTGTTTTCACGGATGATGAGGAGGACTGGCAACGTTATAAAAAGATTTCTGATAGGTTTGAAAAAAACTTGCTCAAGTATAACATTTCAGTAGAGAAGAAAGTGATTGGGTCCAATAGCAAAGTTGCATTCTATAAATTTTTGAACTTTCGTATCAACCGAAAAGAGGGAATCAGCGCTTTGAAAAAGCCTGACGGCTCATACGCAGTTTCGGACCTTGATAAAGCTGAAGTTTTGGCGGACGTCTTTGAACAAGTATATTCCAAACAGCAAGGTTACTCTCGCACTAGTCTTACTCCTATCAACGCGGGCTTCCCTCAAATGAGTGACTCTGTTTGGTTCAGTCGTCATCGGATTCTTGAACATATAACAACATGGAAAAGTTGTTCATCTGTGACACCTGATGAAATCCCTTTCGTGTTTTTGAAAAGGGTGGCCTGTCATATTGCAACTCCACTAGAGTTCCTGTTTAATTTACTGTTTTTCCATTCAGCTGTTCCCACCAGCTGGCGTCACGCATATGTTATCCCAGTAAAAAAGAAACTTCTTCGATGTGATCCTCGTAGTTATAGACCTATTAGCATGACCTCTGTATTTTGCAGGTTGTTTGAAAAGATTCTCAGGGAGGCCATTGTTTCTCACTTAGAATCTTATCATATTCTTCTGATTACCAGCATGGATTTAGAGAAAAGAAGTCGACAATAACAGCAATGCTGGAGTGTCTTAACGACTGGACTTTAGACCTCGATAACAAGCGTAGCTTGGACATCGTTTACTTTGATTTCGAAAAAGCTTTTGACAAAGTCGACCACTTCATCCTATTAGACAAACTAGCGCAAGTTGGAATTCACTGCAGAATAATCAGGTGGATTGAGGAGTTTCTTAAAGAGCGGACATTTCAAGTTCTGATTAACGGCTCTCTGTCCAAAATTAGGAAAGCTCCTAGCGGAGTTCCTCAAGGGAGCGTTTTGTCCCCTACCTTGTTCAATATCTTTACTTTTGACTTGCCTTACTTGATCGCTGATCTCGATGTCAAAGTCATAATGTTTGCGGACGACCTGAAGATTTACGGGCCAGTTGATAATCAGTCCTCCAACCTACAGAAAGCTATTGACTCCATCGTGCAATGGTCCGACACTCATATGCTTCCATTGTCTGTTCATAAAACGAAGATACTTCGCCTAGGTGAAGCTAATCCTAACATCCAATACCACATTCACGATTGCGTCCTTGATACCGCTGAAAAGGTTAAAGACCTGGGATTCATTATTGATCCAAAGCTTAGTTTTGAGGAGCATCTAAAGGATATTGTGGCTAAGGCTAACCAAAGAGTTTTTCTCTTGTTCAAATCTCTCAAAAGCAGAAATCCCATTACGCTCGTCAGAGCATAATAAAGTCTATGTACGTTTCCGTTTAGAATACGGTACTTGCATCTATTTCCTCACAGCAGAACCCTCCTTAGTATGTTGGAAAAGGTCCAGAATAACTTCTCGAGGAAACTATTCTTAAGAACTCTAGGGTTCACATACAGGAGCATCCCACGTGGGTTCATCAGAAACAAAATGCTTGGTTTGGACCCTGTACAATTAAGGCTGAAGAGGAATGACTTACTCATGGTGTACAATATCCTTTCTAGTCGTGCCCATCTCAACTGTCACAAATTTTATAATCTGGTCCCATCCAAGACTAGGGTGAGAGGTTCAAGCTTACTTTTCGACAGCCGCGTTCTTCGTTCGGCGCAGGTTCTTTACGTTCCGAGCGGGTATGGAGTACTTGAAAATGAGCAAAAAAGTTCAAATACCAGGCTTCTTTTCTGCATTCAAAACCAAGGTATCTTCAATCTAAATTCCGTTCAGTAACATTCTAGTGTGTTTTTTTCAATTGGTTTCGTTCGCCTATGTTGTCAAGAATTTCGTTTTCATCGTTTTATCCTATTGTTCTTTTTTAGACTTGTTGATGTTTTCACATGCGTGTAGCATGTAATAAAAGTTAAGTTAAAGTTAAGCACCATCACGTCCCTCGAACCTTTCTCGAATCTAGCGCTGCCTGTGAGGCGCACTCGGTTGTTAGTTGGCAGTGATGATGCATACATATATGATGATAGATAATGCATGTACTTGGAATAGAGTGGACTCAAGAAAGTTCAAAATATGACAACTTTTGATACAACCTAACACACCCCCTCGCATCTCACCGTCGTCCATGAATGGTCAACCCTGAAAGGGGAGTCGCATTTTCGCGGTGTGCACCTTTAGTCAGGATTGACTTTTCCACAGCTCCTCGCCTGGTTATCTCGCACCCTGTAACCTGCCTCTAGGTGGACCTCGCTTAATTAGCTGAGCTGAGTGCTGACCCAACTCCGACAGACTCGGATATATTGATAATGGTAATAAAATTCATTTATACAGTAGCGGTTGGAGGAAACAAAATATCAGAAACAATGGATAAAAATGGGAGCTAAAAATAACTATTTTTTAGCTAACAGCATTCGCAGTGCAAGCGTTTTCCACGCAGAACAGCTACGAAAGGTGAAACTCCAGTTTGGGGGAAGGGGCACTCCATTGTTTCTCCAGTGCTCAAGATAAGGATGAGAAGCACTCATGACACGCGAATCGCTCATTTAGAGTATACTTCTGATAAGTATCGATTGTCATGTTGGGAGAAGTCCCGAGATGTCTTCACATTCCGCCTGCCATGGTCCATAGAAACGGTCCTGGACAAGGACAATAAATATTCTGTCGGGGTGAAAGAGCTCCAGGGTGGAAGACCTGGGTAGAAAAATGGATAGCACGGTGGACAGGACGTGTAGAAGGGACATCCACCGATCCTTATAAAAGAAACGCTTAGGATGAGTCGTTTCTCATATCTTATCAAAGCGTTTGATAGCACGAATGGATGCTCTCTAGTACTATAGAGTTAGCAATGGAGTGGTCCCCGGAAGTGAAGTTTCACCTTTCGCCTAACTGCCCTACAGGCCAACTGATTTATGAAAGTGTGTTGCCAAAACGGCGCATCTCAACAAAGAAATAGAACGACTTTGCAGTAGGATGTCAAGAAATGTCACTAATTAATCTCTATAATCTGAATTTTGTTAAATTAGACTAAGATTTGCACGTATTAAACTTTGGTTGTTTCCCGCAAGATAACAATGATAGAACGTTGTAATCGATACTGCACATGAGAGCGATGTTTGGAGCGAGGTCAGCACTCCAGCACACCTGATTAAGCAAGTCTTACCCAGAGGGCATGTTACAGATCGTGCGAGATGAACCAGGCGGAGGAGGTGTGAAAGGTCAATCTCTGACTAAGTTCCCTCTCCCATTGTCGCACTGGAGGTCGCGATTCCCGCGATGGAGAGTCGCAGTTCCTGCCCTGTGAGGTCGCCTCGAACTGGTTGCGTCTCTGGTCTACGCCTGCTTACTACGAGATCATGCCACCGATGAATGATACTGTCGAAGCAGCGGCTGTATGGCTCAAAGCCGTTCTTGAGAACTGGAGAGTATTCCAAAGGTTGGATAAGATTTTCAAGCTCTTGGTATAGATGCATGGATCGCCAAAACACTATCCTAAGAAAGCTTGATGCTTCAGAGCAGAAATTGCTGTGGACTGCCAAATGACATGAAAACCTCAGGTCAGTGCTTTACTGCACTCTTGTTAAATTTATGGCGGACTGGAAATAATTGGCTGAAACGGTAGAAGAGGCCTGTAAAATCACGTAATGAGGTGGCTACGTACGTATCGCGATAGAGAAAAAACAAAGAGATAGCTTTCTCCTCTGGGGACGACGAACTTCCTTCGTGATTCGTGAGTTCGGACAGGAAGGCATCCTAGAACAAGGAGCTGCCTTGCATGCTAGCAAACAAAGCGTCATCAGAAAAATCACGTTTAAAGAGCCAGGAAGTCCAGAGAGGCGATTCTTGACCACCATGCGAGCTGGGAGACTCGTTACTAGCAAAGGACTTATACATCCTTCGCAAAGAAACATGTGTACGAGGGAGGAACTCGAGTTACGACCGCACTTTACGAGAAAGATATAAATAATGATTAATAATAAAAAGATAAAAAGATAATGAATCTTCAAAAACGCAGGCTTTTATATGTTGTGCGTGATTTAGCCATCCATAAATTAAGAAGTCTCCGTGACCTCTCAGTCAGAGGTCAGGAGACTGACTCATCGCAATCTTCCTTACTATAAAGCGCTTCGTCTGTCGTGTGTCGTGTGTCGTGTGTCGTTCTGTATGTCTGTCACGAAATTCCCTAGCTCTCGAGATCCACCTGGAGGGTCAAGTGTGGGATGGGTGGGCAGGGTCTGACGTAATACAAAACACACATCAGCTAAGCGGAGCCCCGCCCACAGAGGGCGTGGCGTGCGTCGAAATGAATTGTACCGAAGACCAAGATTTCGATTTCAGTGACAAAACGACCTCGAAACTAGGCCAAAAAGTGGGTTAAGGTGTGCATTGGTAAGTCACATCGAATTAGGGAGACCCAGCCCCGGTCGGCGGGGCTTTCTCCAAAAAAGCAGTGCTTTATGAAAAATTTCATAACTCGGTTGGGAGAAAGCCTACAGAGCAGAAAACAATTTGGTGTAAGGGAACAATGTCTAAGGTGTTTCCTGCATACATGACGTGGGCGGAGGCCCGCCCAGAATGGGCGAGGCGCGCTCTGAAGTGTACAGCATTTTCTACAAGCCCTCATAATTCGGGTCGGGGAAGTCTTAAAGAGCCGGAAAAAGGTGGATAGAGGTGTATGGAGGAGTGGAGGCCAACTGTCATTGGTGGGCGGAGCTTGGCCAAAGTGGGCTTAGTCTACGACGTAAATTCAAAACTCGGCTCCAACAAGTCCCGGAGGCCGGGAGAAAGGGAGTAGAGGCCGGCAAAGGAAAGGAGGTCAACTGCTATTAGTGGGTGGAGTTTGCCAAAAGTGTCGTAATTTGGTTCCAAGAGGGCCCAGAGACCGGTGAAAAAAGGGGTAGAGGTCGGCGAAAGGAAGGGGGCCAAATGTTATTGGTGGGCGGAGCACGCACCGAAGTAGGCGGAGTTTGCCACGAGATTAGTTGTCCGGAAGCAGTCCGGTAACCGAGAAAAGAAGACAATGGTTGACGAAGAAAAAAGGTTGAAAGCCGTCGATGATGGAGCGGATTGAATTTAGCTGAGGATTCAGATATTCGTAGTGTATCAAGTCAAATATGAAAATTTTTGTCGCACCATCAAAGTTCGCAGCAGATCTGTGTTGCGCGGCGCCAATTGGTCTACATATAAATGACCCACAAACTCATCGCACTCCAGCGGTTTCCTTCCCACCTGTCTCCCCTGTGGCACTCCGCTAGGACATAGGATCGATCAATAGGTACACAAAACTTTTTGACCCAGTTACTGTACCTCCCACTCAACCTTCCCACCATTTTTTCTTGTTCAGTGCACGTTCCATAGTAAACAACATCCCTGACTTGTATCACTTCCTTCGTCAACAACTCAGTGCAGTGACAGAAAATTGGTGCAAAGCAAGCTCCATTCACGATGCAATCCTAAT